TGTTTTGATTGTGACATTGTTTTGGTTGATTGTTATGTCACTTTTAAATTGAAATATAGCTGTTATAGCAATACCTACTTTTATTCACTGATAAAAAGTAATTTTATTATGCAGGAACCACTCAAATAGGTAAATAACACATTGCTTGAGTGTTTACTTGTTCTGATAAATGATTTGTGCCTTGTGTTTGTGTGTTCTAGACAAGCGAAGTTGCCTGCAGGTCCCTGAGCCAGCTTTAGTCTCCAGCCTCTCCATCATCCAGGTAAGACAAAGTCCAAATACAAGTTCTACTGATCTGAATATGAATGCAGATGTTTGTTATGTTTGTACTCAAGCTGGCAGGGAATTGTACATTCAGGCCTACAGGTTATCTGATGCAGCATGACCACTTTTGACCACATGAGGGTGTCAAAGTAACAGTATTCCTCTGATTCATGCATATACTCTTTGGAGCCTGCAATGAGCTGTAGCCATAGCAACCACCCAGGTCCACAGTTCAGTTTTGTTAATAGAGACAGATGAGGCCTGCTTGTAGTTCATTGCTGATAGATAGACAGTGGATGTGTACTTGCTTGTAAATTGCTTGTAATTGACATGCTGTTTGCACATTTGATAAAATATAGGGATTCGGATTCTATGTTTGATTTGTCTAGAAGTCAAACAACGAAAGGAGAACTATACTATATATATATATATATACAGTGGGTACGGAAAGTATTCAGACCCCCTTAAAGTTAATGATACTAGTTTTTATATGTAGTATTTCTAGAAGTCCTTTATAGCTATAGCTATATTGGTTTATTTGTTCTAGAATAAGCCATAAAGTGAACCACTAAAGCAGGTGTGTGTATACATACATACACACACACATATACACACACACACACACACTAACCGCTTTATGGGAGTTTCAAATGGTCTTTTTGCTTTGGATTAACTTCTAGTTATAGCAGTCCTATATTGTCTAAAGATAAAAGACCTATTAGATCTGTTCTTACTACATGGAATATTTCAAAGTAATATTTTTGGAATTTTAAGAATGCAGAAGATGTCACACTACAGCATGAAAATTAAAAAACGAAAATACAAAGTTTTCTGTATTCATATAGTGGAGTCCAAGAGTCTGAGACCTGATTGTCTCAGCTACCACTAAATCTGATAAGCTACCACTAAATATTGTAGAAACTTAATTTGCTGTAAAGTTACTTTGCAACGATTTGTATCGTAAAAAGCGCTATACAAATAAACTTGAATTGAATTGAATTGAATTGTGATTCAAAATCTAATTTAAACCTGGAAATAATTTGAAATGGAAGAAAAGGGGACATACCAAACACTGAAAATTGACTGAAATGTTTAATTCTTCATATTGTTATGCTTAAAGAAAGAGTAAAATATATAATCTAGGCCTATATAAATTTGACTTAATATCTTGGAAATCTTTGCAGTTGCGGTTGTAAAATCAAAGTTAACAACCGTTTGATTTTTGTAATATGTTACTATTACAGTGGTGTGAAAAAGTGTTGGCCCCCTTCCTGATTTCTTATTTTTTTGCATGTTTGTCACACTTAATGTTTCAGATCATCAAACAAATTTAAATATTAGTCAAAGATAACACAAGTAAACACAACATGCAGTTTTTAAATGAAGGTTTTTATTATTAAGGGAAAACAAAATCTAAAACTACATGGCCCTGTGTGAAGAAGTGTTTGCCCCCCTGTTAAAACTGTGGTATAGCACACCTGAGTTCAATTTCTCTAGCCACACCCAGGCCTGATTACTGCCACACCTGTTCGCAATCAAGAAATCTCTTAAATAGGACCTGCCTGACAAAGTGAAGTAGACCAAAAGATCCTCAAATAAGAAATCAGGAAGGGGCCAACACTTTTTCACACCACTGTATATAAATACATCTAAAGAGTACAGTAGTCATATATAAGTGCCATACATATGCTTCACCACAGAGTGGCAGTATAGGACTTCACTGCAGAGGCTCTGCTTTTGTTTTCCACTGCGATTTTGTCTCCAGTTACATTCTGCTCAGTCTAGACAGGACGAAACCCCTGACCAGATTCCTGCTGCCTTGCGTCAGCTGACTGACACGCAGACGCAGTGGGGAAAGTATGGGGTCCTGTTTGGAAAAACATGCTTCAGGGAAAACACCTTCCAATACATCAGTCTGAATTTTGTCTGGTTTTATCTAGAGATCCTGTCAGTGAGTGTGACGTGACGTGTGACGTGACATGTGGCCAAGTATGGTGACCCATACTCTGAATATTAATCAGGTTGTGTGCGTTCGCTCGAACTGATTTGCTGAAATCAAAACAGGGACGATAATAGGTGAGCACCAGCCAATGAGATTGCCGTTTGCGCATTAGTTCCGCCCACTACCGGAGAAAGGAACTCCGTTAATTTGACAGCAAAATACAACAAAGAATATCGTTTACATGTAGCGCGTCAATTCTCTCTCTCTCTCTCTCTCTCTCTCTCTCTCTCTCTCTCTCTCTCTCTCTGCGTGTGTGTGAAACAAAGCGACGGCGAGTCGTGTGCCTTCACACTAGAGTTTACGGTACGTTAAATACAGGTGCGTTGCACATCCATTGAGATGAACTGAAAAACAGCACAGATCGCTTGACGGAAAGTGAAACTGAAGCGCTCAGTCAGAGTGTTCTGTGAGTGAAAATATATCTGTGCTACACTTATACTTAACCTCCAACTCACACACTGGCGAGTAAAATCTGAGATTTTATTAGCAATTGGCTAATATTAGACATCATTTAGTCGCCCAGGGTAAGATTTAGTCGCATATGCGAGTGATTTACTCGCAATGTAGAGGGTTGTCCCTGCCTTAGTGATAGATAGTCATGCATGTCTTGCACTGATTTTCAGACTAAACACTAAGCTGTTGGACAATTCCATATGTAACATATTTCATATGTGACATCATTTGCTGAAATGGAGTAAATTTCAATTTTAGCATTTTAAATGCTAAAAATATGATAAAGGCAGTGCCGAAAATAGTTACAGAACGTGGTAGATTTTGTGATGTTTTGCAAGCTAAAGAAGGTTGTTATTCAACAGATGGATGTGTGGTCTGTAGTTCAATACCCCACACTTAAGTCCTTTACTCTGTGTTGTGAAAGAGCTGAAGGTGTTATGAAAGACTTGGCAAGATAGAAGCTTCAAAAGTGTCTGGGTCATGATGACTATGCTATTTGTGTAGTGAGCTTTTAAAAAAATGAGTCAGCAGCTCAGCTTTTTTCCAGTTCGCAGCAGAATGGATGAAACATTTCGACTAACTGACATTCACATCATTTCATATTCCTCAGGTACATGACATGTGCCGGTAGTTGTTGCATAAACATCTGCCCTTCCTCACAGAGACAGTAGATCTCTTGGGATTGCACTTGTCTTGTAACAGCTTATATCACTTCCCTGAAGGTCCACATGGCAGGATTATGTAGCAGCTTTTATAGCATGCTATGTAATATGCTTGCATCTAAGACAAGCGCTGGAGGTGCAAGCACAAACAGCAGCTTATCCAAAAAGAATGATTCATGTGTGTGATTTGGACTCGGTGGCATTAAAAAACGTTATTTTCGCCACTGCCTCTTCATGAGCTCCTTGGCATTCAGAAATCCCTGTTCAGCTCGACTGTTGGCCGCATTCCTGCCGCTCTTTGCTCTCTTTCGTTTTTGTCGTTGAAAGAGGAATGTCACGTGGGAGAAAGTGAGTAACGGTTGCTGATGCACTCCCTCCTTCTGCCTCTCCCTGTGCTGTGCTCACATGCTCCCCAGCATATAGATCAGTCTCCCACTCTCACCTACATGTGTGGAGGGTGTGTGTGTGTGTGTGTGTGTGTGTGTGCGGCCCACTCTAGCTCATGCTTCGCAGCTGGGGGTGCAGTGCATTGCACGCATTGACTACTTGCGCACTGCCGCCTCCATCACTCCTCCTCCTCTTATATAGTATCTTATTTAATGCTGTTTTAGTAGGCTGTATGCATGTTTGCAGAGATCTTGAAGTTTCATGATTAATATTAAGATTTATATAGTGTCACTTTTAATTATATTATTACATTTGCATTTACATTACATTCTGTGCATCTACCTAAATCGACAGTAGAGGAACATAAGCAATTTGTTACAGAGCCAACAATATTCATAAATGAATACATTGTTCAAAATAATAATAATAATAATAATAATAAATAAAATCTAAAATTATATAATGATAATAACAATTCATAACAAATATCTAATTATTATATTATTACATATATAATTATTATTTAAATTATAATTTTTTATAAAACATTTATTGCTGGAAAATGTAACAAAAAAACACAATGTATAGCCTAATAAGCAGTATGATCGTATTCCAATAAAGTGTTGCAGCAAATATTTTTGGAACATAATTAAATATTTCCCTCTTGCCCTGGTCTCTGTTTGCATTGCCATATATATTTGCATGAAAGCTTCATCCATATCTGTGCTAGACTGATGGTTAGAGGGTAGACGCATGTTTTGAATGGTTTGAATGGCTGTAAGTTCCAGTGAACTACTGAAGCGCTGCAGGAATACAAACACTTAATTCTGCTATTCTTTCCATGTTCTGGCTGATCTGATAACATAATCAGTGTTCTGAGTGTTCTGAGCGGTGTACTAGCAGTAAGCTACTGTCTGTCCTGCTTTCTAAACCTTTGGTACATTAATCTAATTAATCTACAATGAACTCAAAGGTCATGAGCATTCTCTCACCTTTCCGAGTAAACCATCTGTACAATGTGTAAGTCAGCTGATATCCAAATATAGGAACACAGGTTGTTTGTTAGTGTTCCACTGTTCATGTGAATTCTGTGCTGTTTTGCATGGTGGCTGCATGTTACGAGCATAGAGTACGTTTGGAATTGCATACTACTATATAGCTCGTTCCGCAGTATGTTTACTGTGCATGGTATGCAAAGTTTCTGTATGCATAGCATGCCTGGATGATAAAATGTGCAGTAACCCGAGGACACAGTGTGGATTACTGTATCCCTCAGTGCAATGCTCTCGATTTAACCTTCTATTGCTAGTGTGGCAAATTAATTGAAAGTGATATCAACTGTTATTTATTTATTTGTTTATTATGTTTTCTTCCTTATTATTGGATTAGTGTATGATGATTGATGATTTGATCATTTGTATGAAAAAAGTGTAATTAAATTTTTAATAAATAAAGTAACTAAAGAAATAATTTTAATTTTTTGGATATTAATAA